TAGAAAGTTGTTTATAGTCACCCCCTCCCATTTGTATAGCGAATGCACCCCGCCGAATGCGCAGTGACGGTAGAGTTAAGGTCACCGCTCATGCAACTCTACCTCGGTATTGCGAAAGAGATCGATATTGTTATTATATGTAATACTTTTTATAACCCTTTTTACTGAAATTTTTAACATAATAATTTTTAAAGGAACTTCTCTGTGTAAAAATAAAAATGATGGGTAAACTAAACATTTACTGAAAAAAAAGATATCAAGCAGATTTTCTGTCGGATAAAAATTTTACAGAAAAAAAAAACAATTTCAGGAAATATGGTTATTTTCTAAACTAACCTTGTCCGTGCCATAAATTACTTCAGTTATAAATAAATACGAATTCAAGATAAAATTTTGATAGCAGATAAAATAATTACATTTTAATTCCCAATCTTGCCAAAAGATCAGAATCCACAACTCTTTTTATTTCATTTGATAACACATAACTGAATTCTTTTGTTTCATCGAGATATAAATGGTGATGTTAAATGAGCGATGACCTTTACAATATTATTTAGAGCTACCGCAGTCGGCACATCTGGCAACGAGAAACTTAATCTTAGCGTTGTTACTCGAAATGGACGCTCTGTAACTAAATTATTAAAGATATTCGGATTATTTAACCTAAATCTACTTACAAAGAGTTGCCAAATTAAAGACAAGAATAGAATAGAGTAGTTGTTAGACTTAGTTTTGACATAATAGACAAAAAATGTGGGTAAACTGAATGTATTTATTAAATGCCTAATTGTTTACATTCAGTCACAAACTGCTAATTGAGGATTAATTAAGGCTGTTGTTGAGGAGACCTTTAACTTTTAATTTACATAAAATGAATATTGAAAACGTATTTTCTTTTAATCGCATTGCCTTATTAAGTCGTATTCATTAAGAAGGTAATTATTTTAACTGCTTTACACTTATTATACTATCATTCATTGACGCACATCACCAAAAAAGTTATCTCGTTAAGTATTTTCATGAAAACGAAAATAATGTAAGAAGAAATCACATTTCGATATCATACTCAAAGATTCACACCTTCTTTTATTAAACATAAACATTGTACAGCGGATAAAATTTCAAAATGGCCGCTATAAAACTGACACACATACATTGCATCTCATAAATAGGCCAAGAAATTCGCCTAAAACATACGTTACGTGTTCCGAATTCGGGCATCGGTGCGTAATACACACTAAAATACATTTGTACAGTTGGAGAGAAAATTTAGGTGTACGGTTGACCTTTGAGAAGTTTTGTGTGAGGCGAAATTTAGCAAGGAGATTTTTGCGAAAGAGTGTATTTTACGTGTGTGTGACGTGTGTGGTATGTGTTGCGGTGCGTTGTCTATGTGTGCTGTTCTTTATGCCGGCCGGGAGCTCTGAAGTGCAGTTTGGGAATACCGCACCGACTGATACGCCGTAAAGTACTGCGGGGTGCAACACGGGGTGACGGGGACGGATGTGTCTCGGGATAACGCTGATGCTGTACAATGTACCTGGAACAAACGAACGGGAATAATGTTACTAGCCTTGCAGTAACTAATACAGTCGAAGTTCATTCCACCTAAATAAATTTAACCTTTCTTAACATTAGGTACACTATTCTGAAATTCAGTATTATCGAGCTGTTACATACTCTTTTTACAGTCAATATTCGAAATTAAAGGTTTATATTACAATAAAGGATTTTCAGATAAGTATTTCATATTTATTTTTATTTGTAGCGTTGATCATAAACCCGTTTCGTAAGAATCTGAAACCACAAGAGAGGCCAACCATTTCGCTCACACTTACAAACCATCTTTAATCCAGGATTTATCATCGAATACTTATCTTCGAACGAATCTGTCTTCTCCCCCACCTTGTATAGCAGGCAGGGTCAATAAAATATGTAGGCAGGCGCGACGTGCGGGCCCTCTAGCCTTTCCTATAACAAGAAAGAATTTTTCTATGCATTTATTTTCTTACTGAATACACTTAAGATACGAGTTTTATAGGCACTTTTTTACACGCGTAGGACGTATTTAGAACATCTTTGTTGGAGTTCCGTAATTTTGGGATAAATGAACTGCTGATTTTAGAGAGGTTTTTTAATGGAATTGGTCGTATTGAAATTTTCTTGTAAAGTTTTTTGTTATTTATTTAAAGTACACTGAAAAAAAACTAAAATAAATCGCACGGAATGATCAGGTAATTCATAGCTCGAAGAGATGATGGCCGCTGGGGCAGAAAAGTTCTTGAGTGGCGACCACGAGCTGGAAGACGTAGCGTGGGCAGGCCTCCCACTAGGTGGACCGACGATCTGGTGAAGGTCGCGGGAAGTACCTGGATGCAAGCGGCGCAGGACCGGTCTTTGTGGAAATCCTTGGGGGAGGCCTTTGTCCAGCAGTGGACGTCTTTCGGCTGAAACGAACGAACGAACGATCAGGTCTATAGAAAATGGGAATTATCGAAGTCATATTAAATTGCTAACATTGCTGTTTGAATCAGCCTGAAATAACGGTGGCTGCAACTCTATCAATACCACTAAAAAGATAAACCTAAATAAGAAACATGAAGAAATATTAGTCTTCACTGATAAGGATAGAATAATTGAGGTTTCTTTAAGTCACATAACAAATAACGGATGCTACTAAAACAGAATCTAACCAAAAACAATCGCCTTCATCAAGCAATGGCTTTAAACAGAACCCAACAACTTTCTGGTGATCTTCTTAAAACTCGAACTTGACCGCTCCCCGACAGTTCCACGGTGTTCCTGACAAGGCCTCTTTAATATAAAAGGCAGTTGATTTTCAATTAGAAAGTCAATTACGTAACGGTCATAAAGCGATATACGATACGGTTATGATGACACGGAACTATATTGACAATATAGTTTGACAATACACGACGCGATATATTTGGATTTTACCGTATATTAGGATTATAAGATTATTTCCGTTTCAACGAAGAATCCCATTCAGAAATACACGTCAATTCCTCATACTTTAAAGTCAAAACATAATCAATTAATAATACTTAACAGTAATTAAGCAAGTAAGTGCTAGNGCACTCACATAAATGTTTTATTTTATCGGTACACAAGTAAATTGATAAGTATTGCTTTTATAGGGCATCATGAGGACGAATAACATGATATTTACTTATAAAGTTTATTGGCTATAAGAATAAACCACAGTTGCAGTGTTAAGTGTTAAAATGCAGGCATTTATGACGCTGTATGCGTAATACTTTGATACAATGCTGGTTAACTACTCAAATAAATATAAATAACACTTAGAAAAAATCCTATCAATATTTTCTGATGTAAACAGTATGTACCTTGAATAAACACAGTTACAATAATGCATTACATAATAAATTAAAATATCAAGTAATAAACTTACACTTAGCATAATCTTATACAGGGTGTTAGGTAAATGGGTATATGAGCCGACACTAGCCCATGTTAACATGGTCATATAAATGGTATGGTGAAGTCAGAAAATTGATATCTTTATTTTAATAATTTTAATTTTCATACAAATCGGATTTTTATAAAATTTATTAAGTATGAAAATTAAAAAAATTAAAATGATGATATCAAATTTCTGACTTCACCATACCATTTATATGACCATGTTAACATGGGCTAGTGTAGGCTCATAAGGGAGAGTCCGCTNTCCCCTATACCCATTTACCTAACACCCTGTATATTCTCTTAAAGGAATGTAAAATACTTGTAAATAAAACTTTTAGAATTATTACATTATGAATAAGTAACATCGAGTAAAAACAGTCATAAGTATCAACTAGCATTTGTTTCTCATTATTTTTCACATATTGGTCCTTAAAATAAAATATTTGATTATTAACATATATAAAGATATAAAAATAAGTAATCAACAAAACAATAAACATCTAAACCTCTAGACAATTCTATAAAAAAAATACATATTTTTACAAAATTTTACAACGTCATACATAATGCTGTTATAACCAGATAAGTGCAAATCCTTTGGCACACGAATAGATTCTACGCTAATATCATTATGAGAACATAACATTGAAATTGCATTACTAAAATTAGTGTTCGCTATGAAATCCAAGATTGTACAGCCGTAAATGAGATAACTTAGAGTAGCTGGGTAAATAATGTACCAGTACTATCTGTTTCTAGTGTAAACTGAGCTAAGTTAAAAACTTAAAGCACTTGTGTAAGAAGTCGTGACAAAATAATAAACTTAAGTAGTTAAATATTGAAAATAAGCAAATGAAAGTTCGCTCTGTCGCTCTCATTTTGAATTAAAAACAAATGACAAAAGTATCTGATAATAAAAGAATGAACAAATGAAATCTTGCTATGTTTAAAAACTACTTAAATAAAAACAAATGAATATTTACATCATATAAACATGAAACAAATGACTATAATTTAAACATAAGCAACAACACGTTTAAACAGCATTTTCAAATAACGAATGAGTACAAACAACACAAAATAGAACCGACAACAAATAGAAAGTTGTTTATAGTCACCCCCTCCCATTTGTGTAGCGAATGCACCCTGCCGAATGCGCAGTGACGGTAGAGTTAAGGTCACCGCTCATGCAACTCTACATCGGTATTGCGAAAGAGAACGATATAGTTACGTAAAATACTTTTTATAACCCTTTTTATCTGCTGAAATTTTTAACACTATAATTTTTTAAGGAAAAAAAAGAATGATGAGTAAACATTTACTGAAAAAAAAACTAGAGATAGGTATCAAGTAGCTTTTCTGTCGGATAAAAATTTTACAGAAAAAAAATACAATTTCAGCAAAAATATTAAGTTAATTTCTAAACTAACCTTGTCCGTGCCATAAATTACTTCAGTTATAAATAAATACGATTTCAAGATAAAATTTTGATAGCAGATAAAATAATTACATTTTAATTCCCAATCTTGCCAAAAGATCAGACTCCACAACTCTTTTTATTTCATTTGACAACACATAACTGAATTCTGTTGTTTCATCGAGATATAAATGGTGCTGTTAAATGAGCGATGACCTTTACAATATTATTTAGAGCTACCGCAGTCGGCACATCTGGCAACGAGAAACTTAATCTTAGCGTTGTTACTCGAAATGGACGCTGTGTAACTAAATTATTAAAGATATTCGGATTATTTAACTAAATCTACTTACAAAGAGTTGCCAAATTAAAGACAAGAATAGAATAGAGTCGTTTTTAGACTTAGTTTTGAAATAATAGGCAAAAAATGTGGGTAAACTGAATGTTAATCTATTAAATGCCTAATTGTTTACATTCGGTCACAAACTTCTAATTGAGGATTAATTAAGGCTGTTGTTGAGGAGACCTTTACCTTTAAATTTGCATAAAATGAATATTGAATACGTATTTTCTTTTAATCGCATTACCTTATTAAGTCGTATTCATTAAGAAGGTAATTATTTTAACTGCTTTACACTAATTATACTATCATTCATTGACGCACATCACCAAAAGGGTTATCTCGTTAAGTATTTTCATGAAAACGAAAATAATGTAAGAACAAATCACATTTCGATATCATACTCAAAGATTCACACCTTCTTTTATTAAACATAAACATTGTACAGCGGATAAAATTTCAAAATGGCCGCTATAAAACTGACACACATACATTGCATCTCATAAATAGGCCAAGAAATTCGCCTAAAACATACGTTACGTGTTCCGAATTCGGGCATCGGTGCGTAATACACACTAAAATACACTTGTACAGTTGGAGAGAAAATTTAGGTGTACGGTTGACCTTTGAGAAGTTTTGTGTGAGGAGAAATTTAGCAAGGAGATTTTTGCGAGAGAGTGTATTTTACGTGTGTGTGACGTAATGTAGTATGTGTGTTGCGGTGCGTTGTCTATGTGTGCTGTTCTTTATGCCGGCCGGGAGCTCTGAAGTGCAGTTTGGGAATACCGCACCGACTGATACGCCGTAAAGTACTGCGGGGTGCAACACGGGGTGACGGGGACGGATGTGTCTCGGGATAACGCTGATGCTGTACAATGTATCTGGAACAAACGAACGAGACTGCTTAATGCAGAATAGTACACTCTTTGTAACTGCATAGTTAAAATTACCTTTTAAAAATACCTTCTGAAACACTCGAAAAAGGCAAAAAACATTTATTATGTAGGTTTTTCTGAAAAATACGTAGTTTTAAGTGTAAGTAAGCATGCAATTTTGCACAGTAAATGTATTTATTGCAACAATACTTCATTTATTAGGTTTTTAACACCATTACAATAGCAGTAAAGTTTTTAGTTAGGTAAGCTCTTTTTAATATGTAGACTTACACGAAAATGTATGTAATATACTTAGGCTGGGTTGTACCATCTTACTTTAACTTTGACAAACGTCAAAAATCTGTCAAACTCCATACAAAAACACCGGTTATCGTTAAAGTTACGGTCAAAGTTAGGTGGTGCAACTCGCCTTAGGTATGATCATTGTGCAAATGCCTGTGGCGCTTAAATATGAAACTAAAAGTAGTAAAAGCTCTAAAAATACCCTTTACATCCTTATAAGGTACTTACGGAGACCAACAATTTCGGTCGACTTACAAACCATCTTTAATCAAGAATTTATCATCAAATATCTTCGAACGAATCTGTCTTCTCCCCCACCCTGTATAGCAGGCAGGGTCAATAAAATATGTAGGCAGGCGCGACGTGCGGGCCCTCTAGCCTTTCCTATAACAAGAAAGAATTTTTCTATGCATTTATTTTCTTACTGAATACACTTAAGATACGAGTTTTATAGGCACTTTTTTACACGCGTAGGACGTATTTAGAACATCTTTGTTGGAGTTCCGTAATTTTGGGATAAATTAACTGCTGATTTTAGAGAGGTTTTTAATGGATTTTGTTGTATTTTTTTTAATTAATTTCAATACAGTAATATCTATCTTAAATCTCGTAAAGATTATATTCGCATGGAATGATTAGGTTTAAAGAAACGGGAATTATCGAAGTCATATTATATTGCTCATGCGGTTAGTATTGCTGTTTTAATCATCCGGAAATAACGGTGGCTGCAACTCTATCAAGACCACTAAAAAGATAAGACCGTACATAAGAAACGTGAGGAAATATTAGTTTTCGCTGATAATGAAAAAAAAGCGAAGTGCTAAGTACGGAACAAAATAATAGACATATATTTAAGTCATATTACAAATAACGGATGATGAGACAGAATCTAACCAAAACAATCGCCTTCATCAAGCAATGGCTTTAAACAGAACCCAACTGCTTTCTTAATTCTTCTTAAAACTCGAACTTGACCGCTCCCCGACAGTTCCACGGTGTTCCTGACAAGGCCTCTTTAATATAAAAGGCAGTTGATTTTCAATTAGAAAGTCAATTAGGTAACGGTCGTAAAGCGATATACGATACGGTTATGATGACACGGAACTATATTGACAATATAGTTTGACAATACACGACGCGATATATTTAGATTTAACCGTATATTAGGATTATAAGATTATTTCCGCTACAACGAGAATTTCATTCAGAAATACAAATCGATTCCTCATGCTTTTAAGTCAAAACTTAATGAAATGAGGGTTTTCGTGAATGAAAGATCCGCTAGATGGCGGGACGTGGATGTGGGGTCTGACTGCTGCGTGATTGGTGGATTTTGACATATCTGTCAATGTCATGTCAAAAATAACCAATCATGCAGCATTTGGACCTCACATCTACGTATTGCCATCTGGCGGATTTTTCATTCGCGTAAACCCTCATTAATTAATAACACTTTACAGTAATTGCCTCATTAAGCAAGCAAGTGCTAATATCAGGTTCAAGTATTACAGTAGTAGAAATACCTACAAACACAAACATTTATTGAGCTATTCAAACGTTTTGAACAACATAACAACTAATTGTACGCGTCAACAACAACTTAAAGTGCGTGTATTCTGATTGCCGTCGGTTGAACAACAATGTTTCAATTGATTTAAGGACTCGGTAGCGTAGTGCAAGCAGACCTTATTACACTTAGTTCTAAGGCTCACCCCACACGAATGACATTATAAAACTTTATAAAGATTGTATTTTTTATATTTTTACCTAAAATACTACCTATTGCTTTTCAAACTGAAAGTCACGTCTGACAAAAAAGACAAATTAATATTTTTAAGTGTTACCTTAACGCCATTTTAGTGTCAAGAGCGTTGATTTCTCCTGTCAATCTAAAACTCCACAACTTAAGCCGGGAAAGGCAAATAATCCTGAAAGTAATTTAATAAGCTTTAACGAAATTTCCCGAATATGCTGATACGTACATCAAATTTACCGTAATAAAACTTTGACATCTTTTAGTCTTCCTTTTTTTACAACGAGAAATAATTATCTACAGTACCTCTAGCATGAACAACTTTCATCTTCGAATCGTTTGCGTATTTGAAAAAAATTCGATACTCAACCTTCGAATTAAACGATAACGTGACAATTTTGATTCTCAAAATAAGTTTCGTGCAACCATTTCTCATACTAAGTTCACTTTACGACACGTACACAAAGGCGCTGTTGTAGTTTTCGTACTAAATCTTTTGATGGCGATTCGAATACGCAAACGATTCGAACTCGAAAGTTTTTCGTGCTAGCCGTACAGACCTATCTAGGTACTTCATAACTTTCCTCTTTTATAAAAATATCAGAGTTAGAAGCGCCACGTTTACATTTCCCGTATCTTTTCACTAGCAACGTCTCTCTCACTCATTTCGACACTCTCCCATGTCTGAGGACGACAGGTCTAACAGTGAACACGGAAAACGTATGTAACTCCTGTAGACCAAAAACACCAGAAATACTCGCTGTAATAAAATCAAAATAATTTCACCCTGTCCTGTACAGAATTGTTAAATACTATCATACAATTTTGTTTATTAAAACTCAGATGTACATCGCCATTGTCTGTGTGGCGCCTAAAACTCACTCGCGTCCCTATTTTAACAAGTGTTGACATAGGTTTTAACATTAACTTATCGTGACATTTACGACACTTTGACAGTTAATGACATCACTCCGTTGTTTATTTTATCTGTACGCTCTTGTTATTTTTAGACTGTTACAAATTTTTCACGTCGTATCTTTTTAAAGATTGACATTTATTTTATAAACCAAAGGGAAATAACGTAGGGACATGAAAGAATATTGCTTAAATCAGTACCTAACAGTTGACAAACGAATAATAAAGTCCGTTTTATTAATTGATATTTTCAGACGCTGAAAATTATTTTTAAACGCAACACGAAAACTGGAGCATGTTGCTGTAAATACGCGCTTTGACAACGTTTCTCATGCTAAAATCTCTTTCAATTGCCATATAAATACACGTTCGCTTTGAGGGTTGTCAACCCAATAGCGTATATTTCACCCCGCGCGCGTTAAAAAGAGAAGATCACACGTCCACACAAATATTTCAAGTTGGGGGTTATTTTTGCGATGTTTATTGGGCTCTGACGACCGCTGGGTCGGGCTGAATTTTTCTTCTGGCAACATTTGACAGTAAAACCTTGCTGTCCCATTAGTGGAGAGGCAGTGCCCGTTGTAGTAAGTTACGGCCGGCGCGGTGCAGTAAAGTGTGGTACTTGATTGGTCAGCAAACATTGGCGGGGTTGGCGTAACTTAGGCTCGTATTTGTAAACTGGACTTAGTTTTATGACGACTACCGATGTTTGAGATGAGATGTCACGTGTTATGACGATTAATTAAGTAATCCTTTGATTACGACGCGATGGAGTAACCAGAACTTGACTGTAACGATCCAGTTTGTTTGAAATATTAACCAATTTTAGAATAGTTGATTATTTAATGTAAAAAGTTTTAAAAGTTCATAAAACACAGTTGAAATCGTACTCAAGAGAAAATCTAAACAGATTCAGCATTTTCCATTTTCTGCGTAAAGGACAAAATTATATCTTTCTATCATCATTTTTAATTCTGATTTCTTTTTTATTTACTTGATCGAATATAGAATAATTTATTTTCTTCATACCGTTCTAAAAGGTAAGTACCTAAAATAAAAACGAATATGTTCTATGTAAAAAACTACACCTGTGTTAAAGATATAATTAATGAATATATTTTGTGTCTAACCGCTTGTTTAAATAGACATCAGTAATACATAACGAGTGTATGAAGTTTAATTAAGACGTTTTGATTATTATTAAATACTGCCTACACTTATTTAGATTATTTTATCATTGCATAAAACAAATATAATAAACTAACACATTTTACTAATGTTACATTCATAATTGACTTTAAAATTGCAAAATAATGAATGGTGGTAATTATTTACAGGAATACAAATAACTTGTGTCATCTTTTACGTTGAATGCAACATAATAACTTCATAGTCAGTTACAAATTTAATTTAAACACAACTAGGTAAATACCCACTTACATAGCTGCTTAATTTATAAAGTAAAATAGTTTATCCTTATGTGATGTTACTTTATTATAAAAATACACATGAAAATTGTTGAAGTGAAGTTACTCATAATAAAACGTTTTAAATAAATGTATAGATTTTCAAATTGTGTTTGTCTGTACCCAACAAAAGACCCTAAAATGTAAGGTTTAAGGAATGTATAAAGCTCACATAATCATGTACACACTTTACAGCGCGAAACTCTAACCAAATAAAGAAGGGGAAAATGTTTACATTACTGTATTTTAGGTACGTTAATGAAGTGTCAAGTGTAATCTTAATCTACTGAAATACCTACTCCCTGTGCGACCAGGAACAGGTTTGATAATCGAGACCCGCTATTACGTACTGATTTTACGAGACAACTGATATTATATGCCTTTTTAAACATACTGTAGGTAGTGCCATCCGCACGAAATCATTTCGACCTTCTGCTGTAAGAAAATATCAATAAATTGATATGATTTATGCCTTTGATAACCAAAAAGGTGCGCAACCTTTGCGTGGAATTCGACATACGTTTAAATTTTATCAAAATCGTTAAAAAGTTAAGAGATTAAAGAAGATGGCAATGTGAGATCAGATAAAGAAAGCCGTTTCTAAAGATACGTTTTGGACATCGCGAAATAAACCGTGAAACAACTTTTTAGTTTAGCTATGACGAAGCTCGGGCAGTTTGGGCACGCGAATCAAAAATTAAGCTACTTGGGCAGCAACGATTGCGATCGAATCGATAATTACACAAACATCAATAAAGATTTACCGCATGCGACCGATAATGATGTTTTTAGTTTATCATCGAGGGGTTGTTTCTTTTGGAATTATTAACACATAATAATGTAATTTTATGGGCTCCTTTTATAGAACGCCGAGTGAGCCTGGGGTCCAAGATGGCTCCATAACGCTTGATGTTAATGGACCGCCAGTCGTGGAGTAATCCCGAGGAACATTATAGCATTACATAGCATAGTAGTTACATGCAACTATTTTTCACTAGTTCTACCACGACTTACTATATTTTTGCAGGAACTCATTTGGATTAGGGTTACAAATACTGCAATAAAGTAAAAGAGTGAATACTTAACTGACATTACAATTTCAATAATTACTTTGCAATAATGTCCCAGAGTAAGTGACGAATATTGATTTTATTTCATATGTTATTTACCTCACTTTATGTTTTTCTCAATATTCTAGACACAGCTGACCCGGCGAACTTCGTACCATCTAGGTATGTTTATAAAAAATA